CTATAAATAATAGGAGAGCACCATGATTAGATGAGGAACTTTAGTTTGGAAATGATGCGGGGTATATACTGGACTCTCATGGTCCTGGGTGTTTGTAAAAAGCCCACTCATTCACGTACAATAAGTTTTGTACCACCAACCCGACACTCTCGCCCATGCCATTTGCCCTAGGCTGTGATGTCACTGGTGGTAGTGTGTATCATAGAGGTGTTTTTCCTGTCATTAGAAAGGTACCAATAATGCAACTATGCAAGAGGTACGGACTATTTCATCACCAGGTGCCGCATGATCCGGTGGTGAAAACAATTTTCATTGTCAGTTTTTCGCCTACAAGCAACTGGCTGAGAAAAGAAGTTTCACCGTCGGTTCAGGGATTGAACTAGCGGTCAAAATGGTCTGCTACAAAACCCTACTTCTTCTCTCTTGTTCTTCGCTTCCTCCACTTTCATTCTTCCGGCTCCCCCCTTTCTTTCATCATTGTTGGGGCCATTTTTCACCAATTTGCTCATGGAAAATCTCAATGCTTGAAGGATGCACATAACTCTCTTTGTTTTAAGATATAATTATCAACCCTTTAAATTCCTAAGTTATTCCTTCCGCAAATTGTGATGGAAAACATCTTTCTCCATTTTAGAGGGCTTGGTATTTTGAATCGGCAGTGGTAATCTTTGTTATCACCGCTTACATTCATAAATGATGACAAAAACTGACGGTGAAGGAGGGTTACAAACCAGTGGTAATTTGTTCACCACTAAAAAATTGGGTACATCATCATATACCAAACCATAATATATATATCCCTAATAGGTCACTTAAATTTTGTATTGTAGTTATTTTTTTTGTTAATTGAAAATCTATTTAGTCATGTTCTAGAAGAAAGAAGTATTTTGAAGACCGTACCAATGTATAATATGATTGATATGCACCAGTATAATGTTTATGCAACAAATTGTTATTTTCATAAGAGTAAAGTCTATTTTTCAACCTTGGAGTGGCACACCGGTCCGATTTTCAAACTTGAACTACAAAACTACTCCCTCCGTCCCCAAAAAGTGGCGTTCTAAGATTTTTCAGACAAATTAGTGGAAAGTGAAATATCCCTAATACCCTTGGATTGTTACACATGTTCTCTTAAAAGTAGGGATGTCGTATGGTTTACTTCCTAATTAAGACGCGCTGCATGCAACCATGCATAGATCCACAGGAGGCAACCAAGAGTTGCGCATGTCAATTAGTAATTTGGCCTGGATTTGTTGCGCATGCATGAGTTAACCTGTGGGCCAACAGTATGTCTAAAGCTTATAACAATATTTTTTTTGGGACAAAATTTGAATCATAGGACATCACTTTTTTTTGGACAGAGGGAGTAGGTACTCGACGTCCTCCAACTGTCAAAACTTGACAAATCTGGTAATTAGCTTGTGGGAGCTAGTAAAGACTTAAAGCCTTTAGTTCTATTAGGGGCAGCTCCTTGCCAGTTGGTTTATTTGATTAAACAGGAATGACATTGTATTTGAAAAGAAATTTATATTTCTCTCATGCAGGTTATTTACTCAATTATCTATTGGCTACACACTTGTGTATCCCGCGGAAGACGACTTCACATGGTTTGGTTGTAGCGGCATCACAACAACTGACATAAGTGGCCTAGAATATTTTTTCTAGGCACATTTTTTTTTTTTTTTGGAAGTCGGCAGGGGAGCTCATCACTACCTATTTTTTTTTCAATAAAGGAGATATATGTGTACAGATTACAAGGTCTTAGTCCAACAAATTAAAAAAAGAGAGGAAAATACATATCAGAAATTCTCTAACCAAGAAACTAAGAGCGCTTTCACTGCAGGCTTGGCTTTGTTGATAACTAAAAGGCTAGCTAAGGTGCTCTCTGAACAGAAATTTGTATGTTATCTCAACGATATGGGCAGAAGAACCTGGCCATAATATTTTCCTCATGTATTAGCAAAAAGAAAGAAAAAAATACACATCACCGGCTCTATTACACCAGAAAATCTACATATAAATAAGCAAAAACCACACCATTAACACGAATAACTTAAAGTACCATACAACGAAAAGGAAACAGCAGAGCCTGAAGGATTCAAACATAGCAAGCATCACAGATACTAGAAAAGCTTAAAACGATATAGTAAAACATGGAGGAATAACACACAAGCAACGACGACTGATTTACAGCTTCAGTTCATTCAGACAGGTAACTAAGCTGCATAGAGGATGTCCAAGTTCAAGCACCATCCATCCATGAGCTTCTTCTCTTCTCTGGCGCCTCCTCTAGATGGTATCGCTGTGGATGTGACCCGTGGCCCCTCCATCCACGTTCGGAGCACCTCCCCTTGACCTGATCTCAACAGGCTGCAAACCAGCAACAACAACAGCAACGTTATTCCTATGGATCCACCGAGTCTCGTGACCCAAAGTGGGGCACATCAAGTGAATATGTATTTTCTTAAAAATTGCCACGGGTACAGTACGTTGTGCCAAAACACCTTTCACTATCTCTCAGTGGACCAAGCCCATAGGCTCCGTGGATCACAGGCGTGCTGCAGCAGTTAGGCAGGCACTTCACCTGGATTTTGGATGCTCAAGCACCCCATCTAGCACTCTAGCAGTGTTCCTCACAGTAGAAAACGAAGCAACTGGACTACTCTCACAGATCCTTGCATAAATTGTCAAATTGGGGGTGTTTGTTTTGGTCGTGAAAAAGTTGGGGTGCTTGTCATATAATATATGGTTTTACCACATATATATGATGAACAATTGCATTTGATCAGTTGAATGATATATCATTATTCTCTCAAACACGTTTGGAATAACGATATGCCATCTAGCTCTTTATATTTAGTACAGATAAGGTTCATATATAATTATGAAATACGTCACATGCATGTTTCTGATGCTTTTGAATGCGGTCAAATAAACGGGGGACCTAACACTGACGAATAAATAATGGGTTGTCTAGTAGTGCTAGTGTGCTAACAAAAAGTGAATCTAGATTTGCTATTTTAATATATATTATTAATTGGAGGCCACAAATTAACCCCTCAATGTAAGAAAATTAGGAAAACAGATAGAAATATTTATTATAATAAATAGAAACATCTAGTCATTAATTATGTAGACTCTATGTCACGGGTTTGGAATCGCGGCAAGCATTGAGTTGCTCGTCAGAGATCGGTGTGTGGATCTCTAGCTGCTCGGATATTCAAAACATTCAGCGACATAGCTGATTTTATTCTGGTTCGGGCCTCTAAGTCCTACTCCCACCAGTATTGTGTTCTTCATGTTAGGAATGCCAAATCGGGAGTTTCTTACAATAACGGAGTAGAGAGAGATTGGTAGGGGATCGCATATGGTGCTATCCTAGAGCTCTTGGCTAATTCGGTTTGATCTTCCTATCCTGGTTTTTTTGATTCATCGATTATACCATCCCTTCTAGAGTAGCCCATACCTCCCCTTATATATCGAGGAGGGCACGAGGTACAAAGCGGACAGGTTCTAACCTAGAGCTTATCGGCCTAGTGCTTCTAGTTCCTTCGTCTTGGCATCGTCGGGTACTCCTTTGTCATGTAGGAGGGGACCAACAATGTCGCAACCACTCCCTGACGTCTCTTCTACATTCTGGTGCTTCACCGTGATGCACTGTCTACTGCAATACGCCCTTCCCCAGGCGAGTCTTCTCGAGGCTTCCTTAGTAGACAAGGATCCCCCCTGCCTAGAGGGATTGACAAGCGGGCTCGGAGCCCTCCGGTCCGTGGGCTTAGGGAAGTCTCATGTCCTGATGTGTCATGCCCCTTCTTGCATGCATGGGCCTGCCGAGGAAGTGGCTGACAATGCCTCGTGGCTATGGAGCGGGAAGGCAGTGTAGTGCCTCTTCGCCTGTCAGACTCTAGGCGCTAGATTCCAGAGCTGGCTTCTAGTCTTGGCTCGGGACGTTTGTTGGTCCTGAGTCAAGGCTGGGATGGTCACTATGGTAGAGGCTCGGCTCGGGCTCCCCTTTGGTCGGGAATCCTGACGTCGTGGCTGAGCCTCTGAGCCTCGAGCTATGGCTGTATCGCCGGTTCGGGCTTGCCCTTCTGATAGGGCGGGCCCCTTGGGGAAGGGAGATTCATGCGCTGCCGAGCCATCCTTTTTCCGCCAACGGGTACGTGAGACTGTACCAGATGGGTATAGCCTCCGAGTCCTGACCAATTCTTAGAGTCGATCGGGGGTCACTCGAATTGTCGCCCTCTTCTCAGGGACTTAGCATACTCCTATGTTAGACCCTCGTCAGGAGCCCCCGAGTCCTTCTTAGCCTCCTGGCCTCCTGGGTCACTTCCGGGATATCAATGAGGGTTGGTCTTTGGTCGGACGTCCCTGTAGGGACACAAGGGATACTTGCGCGACCTCGGGTCGAATGGTACCCTTAGGGACTGTTAATCCGGTAGAACCCGAGCGAGGAGGAGAAGAGATATATGTGTACAGATTACAAGGCGTTTGCCCAACAAAAAAGAGAGAGAGAAATACATATCAGAAAGTCTTTAACCAAGAAACTAACAGTGCTTTCACTGCAGGCTTGGCTTTGATGATAACCAAAAAGCTGCTCTCTGAACAGAAATTTGTATGTTATATCAATGATACGGCAGAAGAACTGGCCGTAATATTTTCCTCATGCATTACCAAAAAAAAAATGCACATCACCGGCTCTTACTGCACCAGAAAATCCATACGTGCGCATACATCACAAGTTCACAACGCACCATGCAGGTGCTCTATATAAGAGAAAACCACAGCATTAACACGAATAATAACTTAAAGTACCATACAACGAAGCACCACAGATACTAGAAAAGTTGAAAAGGATACGGTAAAACATGGAGGAATAACACAGGCAACGGTGACTGATTTACAGCTTCAGTTCATTCAGAGAGGTAACTTAGCGGCAGATGATGTCCAAGTCCAAGCACCATCCATGCATGAGCTTCTTCTCTTCTCCGGCGCCTCCTCTAGATGGGATCGCTGTGGATGTGACCAGTGGCCCCTCCATCCACGGGCGGAGCACCTCCCCTTGACCTGATCTCAACAGGCTGCAAAACAGCAGCAGCAACAACAGCGTTGTTATTCCTATGGATCCGCCTGAGTCTCGTGACCCAAAGTGGGACACAAGTGAATATGTACCCTCTTAAAATTTGCCCTTGCTAGATATACTCCAAGGATGTCCAGCTCTGAGTTCATTAAAAAGCTTAAGCTATCGAGAAAAGATGAGCCATATGCATAAGCTATATGCTGACATTCGAGTAGAGAACTAGAGATAGACCTGAGATGTCACTGACTTGGCCTCTGTCACACCAGCTGCATGAAGAAACAACAGGGGGGAATCAGCTGCAAGTGTGCAATAGAGCAGGATGTTCTTTTTGTTCAGAGAGAGGTGCATGGGCACGCAGCTGAACTATTAATTACCGGCATCCTTGTGGGCGGCGCCACCAGCGCGGCCGCAGCTGGTGATGCGGCCGACGAGGCCAAAGAACTTGTTCTTGAGCTGCGCGGCAAGCTTCGCCATGGCCGTTAGCCACACCAAGGGCTAGCTAGCTGCCGTGGAAGGGCGGGGCCTTGGTGACAGCACTGATCGATGAGCTCACCTGAATGGCTAGCGTGCTGGCCAGTGCATGAGTCACCACTCCTCCACACTGGCCACGGACCTCGTATCTAAATACTGCAGCCAGGGCGTGTTGCCAAAGCACCTTTCACTAGCTACCTCAGTGGACCAAGCCTATAGGCTCTGTGGGTTACAGGCGTGCTACTGCAGTTAGGCAGGCACCTCCCTAGATTTTCGACTTTTGGTTCCTGGCTGCAGTACCACAAGACCCGCCTGACTAGCTACATAGGGTGCTCAAGTAATCAGCTAGCAGTCCAGCAGTGTTCTTCAATCAAAGAACAAAAACGAATCAATTGAGTTATATATATTCTCACAAATCCTTTGCATAAATATAATCGCCACACAAATAGTGTTTTGTTCGAGAAAAAGGAAGGGTGCTTATCAGAGCTACCACGATGAACAATTGCAGTTGATCTATTGCATGGCATACCATTACTCTCTCAAACACGTTTGGAATGATGACATGCCATCTATATTAGCCATTTGTTTAGTAATAAAGACTGGTTCAAAATTATGAAACACGCCACATGTTTCTCACATGCTTTTAATTGAACGCGGACAAATTAACGGGGGGCCTAACACTAACCAAATAAAAAGGGGTTGTTAGTTAGCGGTAGTGCCACTAAAGTGAATCTAGTTTTGCTATTTTAATATATATTACTCCTTCATTCCAAATTATAAGTCATTTTAGCTTTTCTACATGCATATATAGTTTTTACTACGTACCAAAATATATATCATAGTAAAAACTATGTAGGTAGAAAAGCTAGAACAACTTACAAGTTAGAATGGAGGGAGTAATAATTAGAGGTCGAAAAACAGATAAATCTAAGAAATCCTTACAATAACAAAAAAACCATCTAGCTATTAATTAGTTTGACTATAATCATCAATAAATAGACACCGGATCTATTCAATTTTCTAAAATATTACCCACGTATACCATTATAAAAAAATATAAAGTAACATCTAGATCTACATCTAAATTATCCACCTTACATAAAGTCAGTCCCTAGACCTGCATCTAAATTAGTAGTAATCTTTACTATTATGAAACAACTAAAGTAACCCTCTAAAGTTGAATATAAAATTACCCACCTTTGTTATTATGACATATTATTAAAATAATCTCTTAAATTTTCATTTAAATTACACACTCAACTAAATGGACATTGAGGAGCCACGATGGTGCAATGAAAATGAAGGTTGAAAGCACGTATCTAAATATTACTAATTTGAGTATCTTTACCGAGCCTCCATATTAACACTCACAAGACATTAGAGAAAAAGATAAATCTTGAAAATTCACATAATAATTAGAAACATCTGGTAACTAATTCATTAGACACTAATCAACATCATCATAATAGCCACTTAATCTAAAAAATTACTCACCATACATTAAATTTGTACTTTATTGTTTATCGACTTTTTGAAACAATGTTCCTTTAACAATATAGCAATGACATTGGTAGGTAATTTAAAGTTATATAGAACAATGTGCTAATAAACTTTGTAAATTATTATTTCATTAGCTAAAATAGTTTAGGACTATGAGATAGATCTTGCACCATTGTAGTTGTAAATGCCATGCCTGACAATATTTTCCTGTTCTATGCACAAATTAAGAAATTCTGAGTTTTCATGAGACAATGTAAAAGAAAACCCACTGCATTATCTATTAATAAGTTAACTTAAAGATTAGGTGGCACTGTATGGTCTATGAGACAACACTATAGTATACTTATCTAAACCTAATAGTAAAAGCAATAGTGATTCTTTCATATGTCGTCCCTACCGCCCAATAACAGGTGGGCCCAAGGCGCTCCTTTGTTTTTCCCATGCCTGGCAAGGACTCTGTAAACATCGTTATATTTTATGATCAACTAATAGCCTAGATGAATTCACAGATACCGTAGCAAATACAATGACAATTATGTTTGTAGCTCATTGTAAGCCGTCGGTCGTTGAAGATCGAGTAGCTAGTGTGAATTATTGGCCACCATTGTAGGCCACGCATCACGGTGAATTCCTGGCCGGCCTAGGCCTAGATTTTGGGTCCTAAGGTCGATGTGGGACACACGTGCATTACTGCCGCGAAGTTGTTTTTTCAAAAAATTTAGGCTGTTGGGCTGCATATATATATAGGGAAATGCTGAAGGAAGAGTTTTGGGGTAAAAGTTTAAGTTATGAATTTAATTCAATAACTTTGAGAGCCTGTTTTGGATACATGCAAATAGATATTAGTGCCTAGTAATCTTGCATAATTCCCGTATAAACCATATATTTATTACGGGCGCGAGCATTACATGGGTACGTATTTCTCCCATTGTAACGTGTGGGCATAGGCGACACAGATTGATGCGTTAATGTTTTAGAACGAAGTTGATTCTTAAATATGTGGAGTTCGTTTTCCTCGGCGTGGTGGACTGGATGTACACATACTCAGTGGTTACTGGTTAGCTACCAAAGGTGCCTCTTTGCAAACATGTTCTTCCGAGACAACAATCTGTGATGTGATGCAGTGGTTACGCCACATGACCCGACCATCCGAATTGTATTCTTTAATTGCGTCCTCTCAAAAGAAAAAGAGCTTTCTTTAAGCGTGTAAAGCAATATGGATTAAGATTTTCGAAAGGGACCTTATTAGCGAAGTTGGCCGTTGGCGCCCATTTTGTTTGTCCTTGTGCCATGATCACTATCTTCACTAAGCCATAATAATGCAGTCAGCAGTGCAGAGGGCCCAAAAGTCACCGATTTGGACGTTTTGATTGACAAGCACCTTGTTATTATTATTATCGTGGTCCGTTGATGATGGAAACAGCAGCTATCGCACAATTTGTAACGTCAATTCTGTCAGACGCGTGTGTTCCTCCCTAAAAATGTTCTGTGTACCGACCTCATCACACATCACAGTTCACAGCAGGCTCCGCCCAGCGCCCAAGCGTTATGTACTCCGAGCATCATCCTACGGCATATCCGCTCTCTTTGAGGTCCTTTACCACCCAAGATGCAATGCAATGTCATATCAAGGAGAAGCTAACAAGGACGTGCGTGTTGGGAGGAGGTGGTGCGTGGATGGAGGTTGACGCGAGCCCGATTTTTTTGAACCCTGCGCAATTTCAATAGGATACTTTCTGATTTGGATGCGCATGTGTCGGCGTTTCGGAACCGGGGATCCTTAACCGACTAGTGAATTTATGCTGCGTGCTCCCAATTCCGGATGGTGATGCAAAGAGACACAAGGTTTATACTGGTTCGGGCAATGGATGCCCTACGTCCAGTCTGAGAAGATGTTCTTGTATTCCTTGCACCGGGGTGCTCGTAGTAGGGGGTTACAAGCTAGGCGAGAGAGGGAGTTCGTCCCAGGTCTCTGTGAGGGGAGGAGATATGAATTACGGAATGAGGCGTGTTGTTCGTGCGAGTATTCGTGACTCTATCCGCCGTCCCTAGAAACGGTCCTGGCCGCCTCCTTTTATAGCCGCAGGGAGGAAACCAGGAGTACATAAGAGAGCTACACGTGGAGCGGACTATTCGATGACGTATTTACTCCTGGAGCAGCATGGCGTTGTCGTGGGAGTTCCCGTAGATGTCTAATCGGTATGGTCTCCACTGCAAGTAACATGCTGCGCATTTGTTGGCTTGGTGGATTGCAGAAGCTCGGCGGCCATCATAGCCGGTCGTGCCGAGGCCTGTTGTGCCGAGACCTGTTGTGTCGAGGCCTGCCGTGCCGAGGCCTGAGAAGTGACCCAGGTGCAAATGCGGGTCTCGGCGGCCATCAGTAGCGAAATAAAGTCGAGACGTGCGCCTCGGGGATACGGTACTGTGTTGTCGATGGGGATGGTAGAAAAGGTGATCGACCGTTGTCCATCATCGCTCCCGTTGCGGCCTTACTACCGATCGTGGCTTACGTGGCGGGTGCAACGAGCGCGTGTCGGATCGACGACGACCGCTGCGGAGAGACCTTTGAGGCGGAGGCGACAAGGTTGCGGGACGAGCCCGGCCTCGGGCGAGGCGGAGCGCGGCCAATTCATCCGAGGCCCTACCGGGGGGTCTCGGGCGAGACGGACGGGCGAGGCGGAGAAAGATCAGTGAATCCGAGGCCCCGTCGAGGGGGCTCGGGCGAGATGGAGCGGTCGGTCCGCTGATTCCGAGGCTACAGGAACCCGTTCTGACTCCCCACGTTGCGATGTCTTTAGTGCAGGAGTTAGGCAGCACAGTGGTCGGTAACCCCTGCTCTGTGCCGTCGCAGATGGCAGGAGGTTGACGCGACTGGCGTGTAGTCGGTCACTTTGCCGTACTGTGCCATCGTGCGTCTATCGTACTGTGCCATCGTGCGTCGGTCAGAGCAGTTCGGTCGAAGAGTCGGAGAATCGGCACTTCTTCCGAGGCCCCGGGCGAGGGGGGCTCGACGAACGGGCCTCGACGAGGGGGCCTCGGCGAGGCGGTCTCGGGCGAGTCGGAGAATCGTTTGCTTCCGCTGGGGCTCGGCGACGGGGTCTCGGGCGAATCGGAGATTTCGGTCGGGACCTCATTTGTTTATTCCATTGGTTCTGTTTTTAGGGTCTAAGCAATTTTTCGATCTTTGCTTAGGGTACCCCATTTTCTGGTATCCGACAGCATGTATTCATCTTAATCCATATGTGTTGAAGTGAAATTAAACTAAGTTTCATTCCAATCCACTCCAACATATGTGGATTGAAGCAGATACACATACATCCACACAAGGCCTTAATTTTATTCCTTACCCATCTTTTTCTTTATTGCCTCAACCTTCGAATACAAGTTATGTAGAATCTAACCTTACGAAGAAACTTAGCACCCACTCACTCCACAAGTACGCGCGCGCACACACCACTAGAGGTAAAGAAGTAATTAGCTATATCTACGTCCTATATATCTTC